CGTTGCTCCCCAGTCTCCTCAGCTCTCCTGCTCATGAAATTCGGTCGTGAAGTCTTTTGAAGAACATATTTTTGGAAGTAAAGGGGGGATGCTTATTTTCAAGGGGAGCTCTACAATGTATTCTATTTTTAATTTTCTATTTTAAAATGGCAGATCAAACATTCCTTCAAAGTAAATGCTACCTACTGACGTTTTCACTCATAATGACATGTGATCCTTAGCAATGAGATGTACCAAAACACAATATAAAAGGCATTATATACCAAAAAAGCCAATCAGCTTAAAAAATTCTAAACACTGTACTATATTTATACAGACCTCACACTACATTATTGTCTCCTTGTTTTACAATCCAATTTGTAATTAACAAAAACAAGCCACAGACAGGGGATTGGAAAGAGAACGGAGGCAAAAGACTTCAAGCTGGGACGCCCTCAGCCACCTGAGTGCATGGCTCCCACAGCGACGAATGGGTGAGGGGTCACCCATCTACACACACCGTTTCGTGGGGGCGTCGCGCGCGGGCACTAGGATGACCTGAGGCCCGGAGGCTTTCTCAGAAAGAGCAAGAGACGCGCACTTTAGCCGCGTGTCCAGGGCTGCCCTGGCCACCAACAGCCCCATGGCAGACACAGCACTGAAACGCATATCAGTCAGACAGTCCCCAGACTGTGTCTCGTTCCTCTTGCTATTATCTTCAATGTCAGACAACCTAAAATTGTAGAACCAATTCTAGAAGCCACTGTCCTTAAAATTAATACTCATAATAATTAACATTTACATTGAATTTTCCCACTTTTGAAGTATGTTAGCAAAACCCAATGATAGTCTCATTTAATCGACTTAAATAATAAAGATACTTGTGGTATGCAGATTTTTTTTTGTTAGAAGTTGAGGGAAACTCAGAGTCATCTTGGTTTAATTTAGGGGTACGGCAAACGGGTGGGGTATACCCTTCAGCGTATCCAAGATTTACCTTATTTGAAAATAATATTGTCATGCCCTGGCCCGGTAGCTCAGTTGGTTAGAGCATCGTCCCATTACACCAAGGCTGTGGGTCTGACTGTTGATCAGGGCACGTAAGAGAAGAAACCAAGGAAAGCATACATGAGGGGAACAACAAATCCATGTTTCTCTCTCTCTCTCGTGCTCTCAAATCAATAGATAAAAATAATATTGTGAAGATTAAAGCTGCTTCAAATATGGTGGACTGTATGCAACTGGTTCATATCTTAAGCCCTCAAAAACACTCATTTGACTCTTGCATTTGTATTAGCAATTGTCTTACTGTTCTCTCCATAAAAGTGACCTAGCAGGGACCTAGGATGCATCTGTGGAAGACGTCCCTCATGTTGGGGGCAAAGGGGAGCAAAGCAGGCACCGGTCTGGCCTGAACACTGCCACTGCTCTACAGGACCGGGGTGGCCCTGCCTGATCTTTCTGCCCCTCCCTAAGTAATCGTTACTTTCTTAGGATCAGGCAATTTTCTAATTGTTTCAGTGACACAATATCAACATCTCCAGAGAACTAGGGGTTCTGCTGTAAGAATTAACTACAGTTTAATATATTTTATAAGTGCAAAAATTACATTCCTGGAAATTATGTAGGTTATGATCCAGACTTCCTTTCCACACTTCGGTGGAAGCACAGTGTTTGCGCTCCTGGCCCATGGCCTTCTGCCCCTAAACCGCCCTGCCGCTGCGCTGGGAAGGCGTAACCGTGTTCCCATCCCCCGAAGGTGACACAGGGCACAGCCCGGTGGGGCCTTTAAACACAGGCAGTGTGCAGTCCGGCAACCTTTGTCTCCTGTCGCTGTGACGTGTTCTAGTTGGCTTAGCTTTACGTGGACGATGCTGCCAAACAACACCAGATCTTCCAGGAATAAGAAAAACCTGAACCTTAATCTGGGTTAATTAAGCCTCTGCAATTTTATTTTGCAGGTTAATTATTACTGCAACATAGGGCAGGGCCTGACTTACAGAGGCAGTGTGACCAACTTAAAACAACCTAAAAAAAGCTAGAAAAAAGGTAAAAGGATTCTTTTAAAATGCATCAACTATCCACTTAGTTTAAAAGAATACTCACAAACAAAAAACTAAGTTTTCATTGCAAAAGGACACCAAATTTAACTTCCATGTTTTATACATTAGGTGTGCATCACATTGGGTGAACTTGAACTTCAGTTCCAAAGGCCTCCAAGTATCCAGAGACAAAGCCCAAGGTCTGCCCGAGTGGGCAGCGGAAAGGAGGCCGCGCCGTGTGACGCATGTCTCTCGGGGCGCAGGTAAGCAGAAACAGCACACCCGCCGGGCCGCTGGGAAAAACGCCACCGACCCGGGGCACTCCTCAGCCGAGGGGCCGACCAAGCCTCCCCTGGGCCTTTGTGACCAGACTTCAGATGCCCAGCGGAATTACCTTCAGATGATCACACGCTGCCTAAATGGTCTGAAAAGTCTCTAACAAGATGTCTTAAGCTATTAATGCCACAAATAACTGGGCTAAGAGTCCACTCTAAATTATCCTTGGACTCACTTTTAACTCACACTGCAAATAATTCCTGCGGGTTAAAGTTCCCAGAAATGAGGTCATGGCGAATAACAACAAAACACAGAAAGAATCGAGGTTACAAAATATAAGAGCAAAAGTCAACATAAAAGCAGACTTATAATGACTGCACATATTAGAATTATTCTACACAATAAAAGAAGAATGGCAAATAGGTTTTCCCAAAGAGCCTTCAAAATGTGAGTAAAGGGTGAGCATGTAAGAAAGAAGAGCCAGAGAAGGAATTAAAAACTCATTGGATGGGTATAGCAGCAAAACAGACAACACTGAAATGGAAAGGAACAGCGATGGTGAATTTCGCTGCCAGGGACGCTAAGACACAGAAAATACGAAAGAGAAGTTTTGAGAGATATATGATACCATTAGAGGGCCCTATATTCGTTTAATTGGAGTTGTAGAAGGGAGAAGAGGGCACAGAGAATATTGGAAAACGTAACGGCCGCGTCTTCCAGACATGACAGACAGCAGTCTGCAGGCCGGGGGGCTCCAGTGACCCCCAAGCTGAAGACCCTGCAGGAAGTCCTCGGTTATTCGCATACAGTGAAGGCACAGAACATCAAAAACAGTGACAAGATCTTAAGAGCTGGGGCCATGATGAGATGCAGATTTTTCTATCACTTCACCTTCCAATTTTACTTTTAAAAAATTATTGTAGTGCGTCGGTAGCTAACACTAGTAATGTACTGACCCACACGGAGACAAGTTAGAGTAGACTATTTCAGCAATCAGATCACCCATAATATAGCAAGGAAAGTTCAATGCATCACAATAGTAGAAAATTTCAAACTTCAGAAATTGTGGAGAAATTATAGGTATTTAACAAATAACTAGAAATCTGAGGAGTATGTCTGAGCAAGCCACACTGGTAAATGAAGTCTTTTAGTGACTTCCCATAACCTACGGCAAACAGGTCACAATCCACTGTGCAGAACGCAAGCCTCTCCACAAACGGCACGCAGGCCGGCTCTCTAGCCTTATGTCCCCGCATTTTTCCATTCTGCTGCGGCTCCTGCAAGGGGTCCTGCCCCTCTCTCTTTCTTTGGTGTCCCCTCCGGCTGGAATCGCTGTGCCATCATCTCCCAGAGAGTGTGTTTACTCGTCCTTGAAGATTCTGCTGCAGCGTAAGCTCAACAGAGTGTATGTTCCAAGAAATCAAGTGGTTTGATCTGTTCAGGGGGCTGCCGTATTCCTGGCGAGGGGCCTGCCATATGGCAAGTGCTCAATAAACAGTTGTTCAATAGATCGGGTGAATAAAAGCTGAGTGCCTCTGTGAAGCCTTTCCTTACCACACCCGTGACCAAATTACATCATCTCTCACAGTCTCTATACAGCCGTGTTTAGATCTTGCTTTATATTTATCTTTTACAAATGTTTGCTTCATGAAACACGTCCTAGAGAGCAGAGATGTTCAATCACTATGTGTTCCTAACCCCCAATGGCCTAGCAGTGCAATGGGTAGGAGCAGACACACCATGACTGTTTGTTGACCACATGAATGGACAGAACACCTTCCACACCGCAAAGGAAGTATTCCAGAAAGCAACGGCGCCAGGCGATGCAATGCCAAGATCTAGGAAAAAATGCAAACGTGGCTGCACAACGGCGAGCGTACATTACACCCACTATATTGACCAAATAACAAATTTTAGGTAATGACTACAGATGGCGTAGAGGCAAAACCATAGGCAGTATATTGCAATGAGAGGCAAAAAGAAAGAACTGTCCACTGTCTTTAAATGATGTTACCAAATTATTATTTTTCAAACTGAAATGCACCGGTCAACCTTATAAAACTTTATTTAATACGAAGTCTGTTCTAAGCACCACATTAACAGAAAATCCCCATGTTTATCATCGGAAATGAATGACATTGTCATTAGAAATTTGTTCAGAGGCAGTGAAATTAATAAGCAGGCACACTAAGAACAGTGAAACTTCTTTTAAGTGCTTAAAAAAAAATCAAACCCAGTTTCCAATTATACTGACGTCACTGAAAATATATGAGAATTCCACTTAAAACACTTGTCAAGCTTTGTACTTCCTCTATTGAGATTTTTCTCATAGTCAGCTGCTCAAAATGCAAAACTGCTAAATTTAATTTTTAGCCAATGTAATTAAGAGTTACAGAATTTTTTTTCAATGCCTGTGGTTTATTTTGTACGTTAGTTTATTTTGTTGAATAGAGTCCACTTATAGGTGAGATCATATTAGAGTTACAGAATTTTTTAATAGGTACAATAAAATGAAAACTTTGAGGCTTCTCCTCTACCTTTTCCTGCCCAGCGACAGGAGGCAAAGACTAAAATAACGCACTAACACGGTCAACTTCACTAGCGATTCAGAGGCACACACCGGCAGATGTCCCCTCCTAACTACTCAAAGGTTAGAAGTTTAGTGGGAGCAAAGTTCCGACATTACACTTATTGTTCACTTACTGGTTGGAGCAGGTAGATGAGGGACTCCTCCTGGATGATGATGACTGGCAAGGGGGTGATGCGAGTCGCCTGGAACAAGGTGCTCACCGATGCCATGATCTGGTCGAAACGCCCGGCAAGCCCTCCCAACGTCACAATCACGTCCACCTAAGGAAGGCACAGTGCAACAGGAAGGCACATATTGAAAGGGTTTTAAACAACTAAATTGTATCAAACACCTACACAGAGCTTTTCATATTACATTTTTATTGGATAAACCATGAAGAAATGGTAGATATCATCTCTGTTGTTTAGATGAAGAATTAAGTTCCTTGTTCAAGTTACATAATTGGTAAGCGGCAGAGTCAGGTTTCAAGACCAACTTTTTAAAGTATATGTTCTACAGTTTTCCCACCTGCCTATTTAGCTGGCAAACTGCCAGCTCTTCCTTTAAAACTCGGTTTTCTGTTCCTCCCAATTGGGGTCTTCCCTGGTTCCGCAGCTGGTGCCTGTCCGTGCGCTCCCAGAGCCCACCTGTGGGCACTGCCGGCGCGACACCCCGCCCATGACACCCCGCCTGTTCTACAGCTTGTCGCCCACTCGCGTGCAAGTTTCCTGAGGACCCAGACTGCCTCTCAGCTGAACCTAGCAAGTTGCCTGAATCCTCTGTACCTCATTTTTATGTTCACAGGTAAATACTGGATACTAATGAACAATGAACAGGGTTGTTGTGGGGATCAAATGAGGTTACCACATAAGTTAGTACGTGTAAAGCATTTAGAACATGTTTTATAGCATTGTGACTGTTTTTAAAAGTTAGCTACTCTTCTATTACCTTTATTGTTTTAGGTATTATTGCATTTATTTCACTATTAATGTTTTGGTTGTTATTACATGCAGTTTAGTAGATTACTTTTTTCACTTAACACTTTGAAGGAAACAGTTCTGATGGCTACAGTATAATTAAATTAAATGTTTCCCTGTTGTTGGAAGTACTGTTCGGGATATTTAGGTCTAGAACTACTGGGTACAGAGGGCCGAGGGGAAGCGGGAGGGGCGAGTGACAGTCTCCTCCCGTGCGCAGTCCTGTGTGCGCAGGTGTGAGAAGAATACAGAGGGGCCCTGCCTCCTCGCCCGGCCCTGCCTTTCCTGCCACCGCTGTGCTCACCTCGTCCTGCATCCTCAGAGCCAGAGCTGCTACTCTGATCATCAAAGAGGAAGGACTGAAGAGCTTAATGAAAATATTGTAAGGAAATCTTACGTATAACAAAAATGAACAGTAACAATCATTCTATTGGAAATAAAATAGAAATTGTTTAAAAACAGGAATATTTAGTTTTTAGGTTTTGAAATGGTATGTTAAAAAAGCTTAGTTAATGTTTCATCCAGAAAGACAGTAGGATTTTAGAAGAATAACATGTTATCCAAGCACCGATATAACCTGCCCAGTTCCTCGAGGACACAGTGGTGGACACCCCAGGAGCAAAGGCAGTGTCTGTCTGGTTCCCTGGTCACCACCCCAGCCCTTGGCACAGCACCCTGCACCCCACACTCACAAGACTCGCCAGGGCCTGTGTTTGATGAATGGCTAAGTGAAGACATTGCAAGAGAAGACTAAGAAAGAGATGAATTGGCATGTGATGGGAATATATAAATCAGAATGGGATTCCACAAAAACACAAAAAGTAAAATACATAGAAAAACCAAGAAGTTTTAATGAGTTACCTATTTCTGATCTTTTCAGAGGCTAGGGAGAATGGGATTTTTTTTCTTTTTGGATGAGATGTTTCATGCCAAAGCTCGAGTATTCTAAGACTGGCACCCAGCACATCTCTAAGACTTAATACTATCTTTGGAGATCTTCCTAGAAGTCTAAGAATCAGCCCTGGAGCCAGCCAAGGCCATGCACCATGGCAAACATGTATTATTCTGAACGTGTATCACTCTGAAGACCCGGGCATCGGTTACTGTTCCGAGGGAAGGGGTGATGTGCAAGCAGTTAGGCTCAGCCTGGCCAAGGAGACAGCTTTTATTTGGGGAATCAAGCCAGCTGTGTCCAGGAGCCCTTATTAATAAAGCCACTGCTGACTGGCGGTGACAGCCGAGAGGTTACACAGAGCCTCAGAAATAAGGAGAGTTTGCTTTAACCTGAAGAGAAAGACATTAAAAGAAATTACACATGAACTATAAAGTGGAGAAAGCTCGAAGGCTCCAGTAAAAGGCACAGAATCCTGCCATCACATGGGAAGCAAGGCCTGATGCTAACATAGCTGATTCACTAGGCAGGTTCTGGAGTCCCTGCTTCAGATGCTCAACTTCTCATTACTACACTCTAAGCTGGGAGCGATCTCTAACCTTTAAGGCTGAAATTTAATCCCTATTTTCTACCCTGGGATATCATGATGAATAGGCAGTATCTGTAAACTGGACCGTGAATTTCTCAGAATAGAGACGCAGCAAGATGACTTCTCCTCACTATTCACTTTCCCCACAGGAAGTGTTTAGCAAGACTGATGAAAGCCCCCAGGGGACGGGTGGGGGCCAGCCGCAGGTGGGCGGGGCGTGGCAGCCTGGGACTGGCCACAGTGCCCCGCTCCGGCTGGGGGGAGGGGGAGGAGTACCTGAGCAGCACAGCGACAGAAGAGGGACGCGGACACCACCCCGGGGGCCTGCACAGGCTTTCCAAGAATGGATTGGCGTCTTTCGGACAACGACGTCACAGGGCCAGAGTGCCCTCTCCAGGTGGATCCAAAGCCCGTGCTTTTCTCTTTACCACCACCCAGCGCACTGTAAATGTGTAAATGTGCACTTTCCCGATGCCTCCACATTCCCACACGCAGGGTGCAAGCCGAGGCCGGGAGACCAGGCGCGCCGGGCCGCCAGGCTCCCTGCCTCGCCCTCCGCGGACAGACCCGTGAGATCCTCCCGTGATTTCAGCCGTGCGCCCCACCACGGGCCCTAGCTCTCCCCGGCTTCCCACTCGCATCGCTGAGCCTGCTCCCTGGGCGCTCCTCCCACGTGGACCCACAGGGCACAACTTGCTTCTCTAGCACCTGTGAGAGTAAGACCCTTTAATTCCCTGCCTCGGCCGTGTTGCTGAGAGTCTGCATATGCCTGCATCCTGCCCCTCGTCCGGAACCCCCGAGTTAAGTGACATGATCTTTCCTAGCACACGACAGGCACACGCTGTCGTAACGGCTGATGCACTCGGCACCTCTCCTTCCAGAGCAGGCGTACGGGGCGCAGATGTCAGCTGCACTGCTCGCGATACACTAGACAACACATCTGTGCAGAGCTTCCTCTAAGCATATAAAAACTCAGCAAAAACTGAATAAAGAACCACAGAGCAGGAAGCTAATCATTAGGCTGAGTTAACATCATCTAATTCCAAGAAAACAGCACTTCCCTGCTTGGCAAGAGTTCCAACAGTGGCATTTGAAAAGAATAATGTATGTCACATTTGTTACCCCAGTAGTATTTATTGATCATTTACCAAGTGTTACATTCTATTCTACACAGTTAGGATAGATCAGTAAAGACAACAAAAATTCCAACCTTCCTGGAGTTGACTTTGAAATGGAGGAAAATACACAACTCATCAAAATAAGAAACAATCACATTTGTTAGAATGTGAAAAGGCAGTTAAGTGGTAACGGAGAATAACAGAGCGGTGGGGTCGAGACACAGCAGAGAGCAGTGAAGACACTACCTTTACTCCCCAAGCCCATTCTAGAGAAAGCAGTGAGAGGAAGAACCAAACAAAACAACAGCACTGCTCTGTCCTTAAGGAGAAGCCCGGCTTCTGCTGGAGTCGGGGGTAAAGGCAGGACGGATTTCAGGGAGGGAGAGTTAGGGAGGGTTTCTGGGGGAGGGTGGACCGTGAACTTCAGAGGGCACTAAAAGGCAGGGCATACAGAATGGACGGCAAGTCTGTTTATTGCTTAGTAAGCCTCCATTCTCTAGAGAACAAAGGCTGGCCTCAGGGGCCAACATAGTATTTTCTTTTGGTTGTGATGCATCAAGGATTCAAAGTCTGTAATTCGGAAAAGGTCACAATCTTAGTAGTCCCACAAATAAAATATTTTAAATAATATAAATTTGTGCACACTGCCCCCAAAATACCCAGCACACGCCTACTATGCCAGTCTACAATATATAAAATCCAAAGAATTAATTTCCAACTGATTTCTACACATTTTCTATAGTCAAGTCACGGTATTTTCTGTGGATCTTGTTGTTGTTGTTGTTAGCAGAGAGGAGGGGTGGGAATGAGGGATGCATCTGGCTCTGCACACGCACCGCGTCTCGCAAGAACACCGGTGCCCGGGACTGGCACCGTGGAGGTCTGACTGCGGGGTGGTATACACACCTCTGACGGCCGTGGGATCTTGTACAGGTTACATGACCTCCCTGTGCCTCTGAAAACCTCTAAAGGCAGGAAATAAACCAAATTTATTCACATTTTCCAAGATTCATTTCTAACAGAACATGTAAAGTTCTTGGGTTTTCACCCTAACAGCTTAAGTAACAATTGTGTCTATTTGTTTAGAAAATAAGTGGAAAACTTGACTGTTATTATTTCTCTTAACAGAATAATGACAAGACTGGTTGAGGGATGTATAACTCCAACAGGAGAAGCAATTTCATTTTTCTACTATAGCTGTAAAAACCTTTTCGGTAAACGACATATTTTTGTCCACGTGTCCTCAGAAAGACATAGATATAGTATGGATGAAGTCTACAATAGGGACAGTGTCTGTCAGCATATTTTAATTACATTTACTTTCCATAAATTGAATTCTGGAGATGCACAAATGGATAGTTTCTCCATGGCTCTTCCTGAAAGATAGCGTGACCATGCAATTTAACACACAAACTGCATTACTTCGGAAAGTAAATGGAGACGCTGCACATAATTATGCCAAGAATACAGGCATGAACTGGGACTATGCCATGTAAGCTAAGATATGTTGTTTACCCTACTGCTTGATAATTACAACTTACCTTAACATAGCCAACCTAACAAAACGCTAGAGTCTCAAAAAATTTAGACATTCTCCTTAACAAGCTCGATGCTGTATTACAGTTAGGCATGAAGAGGATGATGCCATTCTTTGGTTCAAGTGTCTGATGCTCCAACTGGAAGAGAGAAGACCCAAAGCAGGAGG